TCTGCATGGAGGAGTACAAGTCCTACTAGGATTGTGCCACGGGAAACTTATAAAAGCTCACAATCATCACCTTGGAGGAGGTAATTGAACACAATCTTTTTGAGAACTTAGAGCTTTGTCTATTTGTCAAGTTTTCTGACTTAGGCATCGGAGAGGTTTCCGGCACACACCCGCCGGCTAGCTCACGTTTGTGTTTTCAGGTGATAAAGCGACGTCGTACGGAGGAGCGTGGACTTGGTCAACAGGATTATACGAGGAGAATTATTTCCTCCCCGTACAGTAAGGGTAAATTACACTTACACTCTATGAGATTTAAGTTTAATATCAACCCTAACGTTTGAGAAATTACATTGACCCTTCTATCATTGCAATTATTTAGACAGAATTAACGTTGGTATAAAAAAAGACATTGCATTCATACACCATTTCTTTTCTAACTTTGCTTTACTTCTTTTTTTTCTTTTTTTTTTTTTTCTTCTTTCTTTCATTTCCTGTGTTTTTTTTTTTAAATGTAATTTTCTTTATTTTTCTACAGGGATTTGTGAAATGAGACTATTAATCATAGAGGTGTGAATGTAATTTCTATAACATCAAAGGATGAGATGTACCAAATCTCAAAGGTATCAATGTAATTTACCTAAAAAGTAATAAAGTAGTGTATTAATTCAACAGCTTGATTTAAGTTCTCGACTCTATTTTCCTTGTACAAAAAAAGAGTTTTTGTGTTATTGAGGGAAAGTTGGGCAACCGACCGAAATGAGTTGAGACAAAAATTTATTGAAGTCGTGTATTTATTGCACCACTTCAAATCTTGAATTGTTTTTTTGAATTCATGTTGTCAAGTCATGTTTTTGCACTTTAAGTCATATTTTTTAAATTTGACTTAAAAATAACTTTAATTTGAGAAATAAGCTTAAAATGTTTAGATTTTTAAAATAAGAATTTTCAAGATCGGAGTTTGATTTAAAAAAAAAAACTCAAAATTTATTATAATAAGGTAGATACATGCTAATGTTGTGCCATTTTAGTTAATTAAGACTTTGATATTTGTTTATATCCTTGTTAAGCATGTGTTGCCTAGGTCTGGCTTTTAATTAGTTTATAGAAAATCAAGTCAAGAATATGAGATTTTTATTTTATTTTTGACTTCAAATTTTGACTAAATCACATTCAAAATTTGAAAGTAAATTAATTTCATCAATTTGTTTGAATATGATCATTTACTTACTACCTATGCAAAACAAAGGAATTCCACTGTTTGTTCAAAAAAAATGACAAATTTAAGTGTGTTTACATATGCATATATTCAAAAGTCATCCATAGCAGGTGTCTTTGAGGGACGCATTTAAAAAAAATATATATATACAATATGTTTTTCATCAATTTTAAAAATATTTTTTATTGATTTTAAAACACTTTTCTTACACAAAATTAATTTCACCCTAATCATGACATTAAATAATGCCTAGGGGCACAAATTCACATTTGCTAATTGTAAAATTTCACTTACACTGTTTAGATTATGAATTTGAGAGACTTAGAGAGAAAAAAAAAAAAAAAAAAAAGCATAAAGTAAGATAAATAAAATAAAATAAAATAAAAAATAGCCTCCATTTCATTCATTTTTCCTTCTTATTTATTTGTCTTTCACAATTTTCTTCTCAAATTCTTCATCCAAATACAACTTTATAATAATTGAGAACATATTGAATTATTGAGAGAGATATATCTTTCACCACTAGAGTTCAAGAAAAAAAAATGTTAACAAAAAGAGGAATGAGGAAATTCATGGGGTCAACTAAATAGTAAGTCATTCAAATTTTATATAGAAGGTTTTAAGTTTAAGGTCTTGCTTGGAGACTTAAAATTTTAGTTAAAAGGTTAAACAGTCATTATAAGTTGTCACATTACTCTCTCTACTTTTTTGCATATCTTTTCATAAAAAATAAAAAAAATTAACTAAAATAGCCAATTCCCAAATGAGCCCTAAATATTGATACCTTACTTCACCCAATATATAAGATTAAATTTTGCATTTTTGCAATATATTGAAAAAATCATGGCCTTGTTTGGTGGAGTTTTTTTTTAAGTTAAAAGTTAATAATCAGAAAACAGAAACTAAAAGCACCTCTACCTCGGCTTTCAAATAATCAGTTTATTTAAGTTATTTTTGCCTGATAAGCTATATGCGGAAATTACACCAAACAGTCTGATACAGACTCTCAAATCAAAATAAGTTATAATCACTCCCAAAAACTGTAACAAACAATCCCATGTCTACAATCTGTTCTTGATTATTTAAAGAATTAAAAATTAAAAATAATATTAAAAAAAAGAAGTGGTCAGGTTATTTGTCATCACATATTATATGTAAGTGGCCAAATATTATTATATTGTCCAAGCATGGGAATATTTTCTCGGAAAATTACATAGAAAATTACATGGCAAATTACACCATCGGGTTGTATACGCATGCGTCCTTAGCAAAGCTGATTTAATCAACGCATGCTTCTGAGTTTTTATTTATTTATTTCTTCCTAATTTTGACCAAAGATTTGGCGTTGTTGTTATCAGCAGCGCCCCATGCTTCTGAGTTTTTATTTATTTATTTATTTCTTCCTAATTTTGACCAAAGATTTGGAGTTGTTGTTATCAGCAGCGCCCCCCCCCCTCCCCAAAAAAAAAGAAAAAAGATAATGATGGAGAGTTTTAAAAGTAGAGCTCTAAAATGAATTATACCGAGGTGGCAGTGAAAAAAATAAAAAATAAAAAATAAAAAACAAAAAAAACTAGCAAACACATCACATCATAATAGGATCTAATTCATTAGAGTTCTTTTAAAGCTCATGTTTTAGAATTCTAAAATATTTTTTAAAAAAATTATAAAAAATAATAATTAAAGAGACGTAGCATTCAAGAATATTATGTTGTTTTTACCTTAGACATGTAGTGGTTGTTATTAAGTTACTGCTAAGAGCATCTCTCTACTTAATAAAGACATTAAAAATATAGGTGTTAAAAATATTTATTAAAAAATAAATGCTCCAATGAAAATAATAAAATGTGTGTTAAGTAAAATAAAATGTGAATACAAATGTAAGTATTTAAATAATACAAAATAGCTCACTTTTTTTTCTTTTCTTTATCTTGTTTCTTCTCTATCTTATCCCCACCATCCTTGTGTTCCTCGCCACAATTAACATTGAGTTCAACATGTCACTTAACAAACAATTTAATATTTGATGCACCCTCTAATAAGTTAAAGAAGTTGATAATAAAAAAAAAAAAATTTTTTAAAATACTTCTCCCCCTTACTTCTCAATAATTAATCTCCTTTTTAGTTTATTTAAGTTATTTTTGTCTTGACTTGTTTTGAAAAAAACCAATATATATATATATATATATTTTATTTATTATGAAAAGACATAATATGATTTAAACAATTTAAAAAACTAATAAACTGACTTTTCGACATAAAAATATTTTGACACAGACTTAACACCACTCATTTTTATTACTTTTTTCAATATGAGAAAAAAAAAATTAAAAATAAAAAGATCGTTTTATTATCAAAGCCCCCACAAACTCAATTTGATTATTCATTTTTATTCTTACTGTTATAATAGTAGAGAGAGGAAATAATATATATTATATTGAATGAATTGTTCTATACAATAGAAGGTCTGTATATATAGGCAGAGAAAAAATATTCTATTAGAATCTAACTATGAGAAAGAGTATCCTCTAATAGGCCTAACTATGACAATACCTAATATATCTAGGAAATCAATATCTAATATATACATTAACATCCCCTCAAACTGAAGGAGGATAAACATCTCGTCTTATACACACACGTGCAATCATAGGAAAGGCACACATAGTTCTTTGCTCAGTGAAGTTGAAGGAAATCCCCACTCTATTCTTCATCACTGAAAATGGATGAAAATTGGGATTTGTGGGCTGTGGTGAGAAGTTGCTACACTCCTGCCACCACATCCGCTTCTGCCACGGCCACCAAGTATGTTACCCCACCAGAATACCCCATGCCTGTCTCAGCTTTTATGGTTTTTGAAAAGAACAATTGTAACACTTTCGGGAGAAGAAACAATGGTTTTGAGGAACTAGATCAAGTTTACAGAACTTCTTTTGCACACTCACAACCTATCATCAACCTTCTTCTTGGTGGATTGAATCACCTAAAACAACCACAACCCATCAATCCTAATGGCAATCCCATACCCTTGGTTCTGTTCTTAGTGGATTCAATCACCAAAAACAAGAAGCACCAGAATCTCCATTGTAGTGATTAAAATCACCAGATCCACTGAGCGCCATAACGTCCTTGTCCAAGTGATTCCCAACTCGTTCCTCAAAAATAGGAGACGAAGAACTACTGCACTTAGAATGAGACTTTCCCACATCTTTTGTCCTCGTACCATTTTGATTAAGAAAACCAAGTTTTGCAAATCCACTAATGACTTTATTAGGATTGTAAGAAGATGCACATTAAGCTAGTTCTAAAGGAGCTTTTGCTTTCCCACATCTCTTTAGAGAATTGTTGCCAGAATGCTTTCTGAGAAAACCTGGAGGAAACAGAGGCTTCCATTTTCCTTCAGAAGAATTTCTTCTAGCCAACTTCCTTGTGGCATCCTTAGTACTGCTAGATGATGGCAAGCCCTTTCCAGTCTCCATTTTTGCCTGCTTACCGTTGCAATCAACAGGACTAATCTCATCAAGAAGTTCACCTGAGCTTAAATTACCAACATGAGCATCATGAGAAATTTTTCCTTCCTCACAGACACCATTCTGTATTGGCTGAGCGCTTTCACTTGAAGATTCAGTCAACCTTTCGGCACTACTTCTCTCAGTTGTATTCTCATCAACAGCAGAATGAGGAAAGTCTGATTCAGAATTCTGAGAATAAGCTTCAGGCTTAACCACCTCACTTAGAGAAGAACCAACCGCAGAGACTAATCTATTAGCGTGTACAACAGGAGAAGCGGTTTCTTCAATCGCATGAGAATACCCATTGCCATGTACTTCAATATCCTGTGGAATAGATGAACTTGACTTAGAATCTACCATTTCAATGTCCTCTCTCACATCTTCAGAATTAGTTCTCTCATTTTCGCAAGTAGAAACTTTTTCTCGTGAGTCGCTATCAGATGACAAGGAACCAGAAGTACATGTGCCATTAATTGACTCGGCTGTAGTGAGGAATTCAACTGATTGTTTGACATGGGGCTCCACTTCTTGAACTGTTTGCTGCTTCCCCTTAGTTAAAGATTCAATTGGCTTCAGACATGATGGTCGGGCACAAACCCTAAAAGCAATAGTGTCACGACCCAAACCTGCCCCTATGGGTTTAGCACCGTAACCAGCCAGTAATCTGAGATTACCGAAGGCCTACTTAACAGTAATACAGTAAAACAGAGTACAGGGGCCTGGCGGAAGCCAATACAGTAAAAAAACAATGTTCAATGAGCTGTGACAGTCTGTATGTCAAAAAGACTTTTCATGCAAACATATATATATACACATAGTGCAGAACAGTATGTACGACATTTATAATCATTCAGATCAGGGACCTAATCCCTATTAAACAGTACAGTAACAGTCTATATAGTCTATACAGTTAACAAAACAGTTACAGAGATAGACGGGGGAAATTAAAGCACCTCTAAGCCATAGCTTGATAGGCTCGGAACTTCGCAGTGAGGCACCGTGGTTGGCTTGAGAAAACTGGAGCTTACCCCGACGCTATTAGCCGCGGTCTGGTGCCTGTACACCTACATATATATATGAGCAGTGAGCTAAAGCCCAGTGAATAACATAATGCGTAAAGAGGCTTAGAATGGATGTCCTTACAGTAATGAAAACAGTTCATTAAATCAGTATTTCAGTCGTTCAGTCAGTACAGTCATATGTGGTACATCCATTAGCATAACAGTACAGTAAACAGTAGGTCTTGAAAGACCGAACAGTCAATGATGGCCATCAATCAGTAAACAGTAGTGGTTCTAACAAGGGAACCGACAGAGATCTCTGTAACAGTAACAGTCAGTAACAGTAGTTGCTAAGGATGCCACAATACAGTTCAGAATAGAGGACATACATTCATTCTATTAACAGTATCAATTCAGAAACAGTACAGTTTAATTGTTCAGAAGATAATCATTTTTGAACATATCTTTACACAGTTGTTACTCACAGAGTTCTGAGCTACAGTTAGGCTAGAGCGTGTCCCCAGTCGCTAACCCTACACAGTTTACAGATTGAACACACACTAAGCTATACAGTTGAGAAAGATAATAACTTAATCCCTATCTTGACTCGGTGTGGTTCTACATCTATATCCTCATTAAGATGCCTTAAACTAGGCCTAAGAATGCCTAGGATGAAATGAGGATGCAAAGATGCACTTTAAAAGCATTTTCAGAAAACAGGGGTCCCGCTCGAGCGTAGGTTAATCCGCTCGAGCGGACATGCAGACAAAGGTTTCCACTCGAGCTCAGACTCAACCGCTCGAGCGTACTTCAAAACAGTCAAAAGTGCTGGATAGGTGAAAATCACGCTCGATTGAGCGCTCGACATCCGCTCGAGCGTAAGACACAAGGTCCCACTCGAGCGTAAATTTCCTCACTCGAGCTGACTTAAAAACAGAACAAAATACTAGGAGCACGAATTTCACGCTCGAGCGCCAGTCACCCCGCTCGAGCGTGAGTCCAAAATCTGAAATTCCCAGATTTGAACCTCAAGCTCAAATTGAACTTCAAATGTATCAAATTCAATCCTCTTGGCCTCATTTCCTGGAAAACATTTGCAAATACATAGTATAACATGGTTCAAAGCTCAATTTGTAAAATCAAAGCCCAATGGAAGATCATTTCAACTCAAATTCAAACCAATTTTCATGAACTTAACTTCAATGCAACATGCATGAATTTAAACCACTTTCAAGCTTTAAACACTTGCTCTAATGAGCCAATTGTTCCAAAAACAAGATGAAAACATGGACTTAACATAACTATGAGCATGCATGTGACAATTTTCCATGGAATCAACTCGAAATTCAATAATATAGGCATGCATGCAACAATTGAGCTATAATTCAACATGTTAGAACTAAATCATGACTTGGCTCCTCAATTAGACATGAACCATGCAAGAATCAACTTAGACACAACAATGAGAGGTTAAATCTCCTTACCTAAGTCTTGAGTTTAAGGTGTAGGAGCTTAATTATGAAATCAACCTTCAATTTCTTCAAGCCAAATCACAAAAATCAAGTTGAAATCACTCCTATTCTCTCACTCTCTCACTCTAGTTGGTTGTGGCCTTTGAAATGGCTGAGGGAGAAGTGTTATGTGATCAAGTGCAAGTCTCAAATGTGTTAGGTAGTGGGCCACTAAGATGGCAAGTTGGTAAATACAGTAACTTATGTAATTTAGCTCATTTTAATCTAATTTAATCATACCAAATCAGTTTTCAGATAATTACACCATAAAATCACATAAATTATGATGATCATGAAACACAAATCGATCTCCGGTTCGGCCACCGATAAGGCCTTCAATTCGCAATTTAAATATAAAACATGAATAGATAATCAAACAGTCAAACAGATAGATAATGTATTTAAACAGACACAGTCAATCAATCAGTTTCAGATTTCAGTCAGTCAGTTCAGTATTTCAATCAGTTCAATTACTTTTCATAATCAGTCTCAGTTTAGCAGTAATCGGTAGCTTATCGGTAAATAGTGGTGAGGGTTGTTACAGTCTCCCCTCCTTAAAAGAGTTTAGTCCTCTAAACTCGAGTTACCTTCGTTTTGGAAGAAAACAGCATCCAGTGGAAACAGTTCAGGATATCTTTTAGCCATGTCATCTTCTCTTTCCCAAGTGGTATACACGCCACCATGGTTTTGCCAGCCGACTTTCACTAACGGGATCTCTTTGTTTCTCAACTTCTTGATCCGTTTGTTTACAATCTGAATAGGCTGTTCCTCGTAAGTGTAGTCATCACTCAGCACTACACGAGTAGGCTCTATCACATGGAAAGGATCCCGGAGGTAATCCCTCAACATAGAATTGTGGAAGACGTTGTGCATATGCTCCATTTCAGGAGGAAGCGCAACTTGATACGCCATCGGATTGATTTTCTCAATAATCTCATACGGTCCGACACATCTTGGCGCTAACTTGCCTTTGACTCCAAAACGAGTCTGGCCTTTCATCGGTGTCACTTTCACAAACACATGATCACCTACTTCATATTCTCTGTCTCGTCTTCTGACATCAGCATAACTTTTCTGCCTGCTCTGTGCAATTTTCAGTCTCTGTTGTATCAGTTTCACTTTCTCAGTCGTTTCATATACAATCTCAGGCCCAAGCAAAGGCCCATCTCCAATTTCTGCCCAGCAAATCGGAGACCTACATTTTCTGCCATACAATGCCTCGAAAGGCGCCATACCAATACTTGAATGATAACTGTTGTTGTAGGCGAATTCGGCTAAGGGCAAATGGCTTTCCTAGTTTCCCTGAAAATCAAGCTTTGTAGTACTAATAACAGTCTATTTGTATGGGATGATTTGGAGAGAAAAGAAAAGATAATCCCTTATAACCTACTTTTTGAATCTCCCCAAAAGTGGAGAGATTTGAAGAAGCTTCAAAAGTCAAGCTACAGGAAAGGATCGCACATATAAATGGATAAAATAAAAAATGAGTATCGTGCTGTTTTCAAGAAGCCTTATTTATTATATTGCCTATAATTTAAATCAAATTTTGGCAAGTTTTGTTGTCAAAGAAGTCACTAAAAAAAGATTGAATATGCAATGAATGTAATCTTTTTAAATGATATGTTTAAGATAATGATCAAGAAAAAAAAATCATATAGTAATACCAGGATGAGGGTCATATTAAATAGCATGTGAAGGGGTTTTAAGATATAAGAAAGTAGTTTACTTAACAGGAGAAAAAAGAAAGATATAAGAAAGTAATGACTAAATAAGAAAGTATTTTAACTTGTATTAGGATTAACACAATTTCATTAATGAATGAGAGAAGCCATAAGGCGCAAAGGAGAAAGCAATGAGCTGTCTTTCACCATTGGTGATAGGTCTGCTCCTCATCTACTTTTTCCTCATCAAGGAGATGTAGGGTTAGAGGTTGTTACAACTTAGCCTTTTCCTCAAAAGAGGGCTTGGCCATATGTTTCAAATCACATTTTAAGACATTATTCCACGTCAATCATGAACATGTGTATCCACTGAATTTTAGGTGATAGGCCATCCTTGAGTAACAAAATGTATGACAATTACTCTTATATTGAAATTGACAAGTCACTAATAGCAGGGAAAGTAAGAAGATCAGCTACCTGCTATACAACAGCATATAAGCCCCCTGCGAGAGCACCTCTTCCAAATCAACCCTCATGACCTGAAAAAAAAAATTGTGAATCAAGTTAGATGAAACTACAAATTCAAGTAGACTAACAAAAACAATACACGTTTCAACAAGACCACATAAATATTGCATTTTCTACTGATGTTTGTCTTGACCAGAATCAATTATGTCCCATATTTTTGCATAATGAACAGAGATTTACAAACTAAATGTGCACTGACAATGAACCAGCAGTAAAATTCAAAGAGAGTGACACAGACGAGAGAGGAAGCTTCCATGGAGGACATTCTCAAAATGCAATGGGATTTTTTTCGAAGAAGTGAGATCACCAAGTCTTACACTCGGTGTTATCAGATAGATGCCTTGGCGAATGGATGTCAACACACACACACACACACACACACACATATATATATATATAGAGAGTTTAACATGGAGTAGCTGGACAAAAATATATTCACATATGGGACACATGCTCATCTGTACATATGGTACTGGTCCATTTTCCCTTTTTTTTTTTTTTTTGGGTCCCTGGGTACACAGAGAGAGAGAGAGAGCTATTTCTACCTTGCAGTCATCAATCCTGTACCATTTTCCACACAAACCCTTTGTATAACAAATGTAATGGCCGAAAAACGATGCATTTAACATGTCAACATGGATAACCACTGCATATAGCTTGTAATCATCGTTACCATCTCCTACTTCACTCATGTAAGGGCTAAGATCTAAAGTTTTAGGGAAAGTCACCCTCATGTTAAGTTTTCCAAACCTCCCGCTCTGCAACAAATATGCACATAAATTAGAACTTATCAGAGAGAATAATAAAAATTTCAAACTTCTTCAAGCATTTAATTCACAAAACCAAAACTAAAATTCTGCCATGGACTAATCACCAATTCAAGATGTAGTTCAAAATTTAATCAGATGGCAACTTAATGACTACTATGCTATGCTATTTCGACTGCCTAAGTATTGGCTGCTTCCACAGGAACCTCACTAGGTGGGCCCAACGTGTCAGTTGGTGCAGTGCCACCAAAAAGGTGTGGAAATAGTGGTTCTCCCTTGAAAATTATTGAAGATATACCCCAAGGAGGGAGGAGGAAAAGAGGAAAGACTACTAATATATATATATACCAAAAGTGAAGGAAAGAAAAACTTATCACAAACCTGAAACCTCTTCAAAGCAATTGTAAGAATGTTTGGGGGCCTTCGAATAGTAAGACGCTTCCATGCCATGACATACTCATTGCATCTGCAAAGAGATTGGCATATTATGATCCTAATACCATTGATTCAGTGGTGTTTACATCAGAACATTTGCGGCAATATGTTTACAAGTAATCATTTATATTAATAATTATTACTACATTAGTGGAAAAATCAAACCCCCATAATGGGATATCATTGAATTGGTCGTTCTTCACTAAGCAAAAGAGTTGGCATTAGTAAAGGTTCAAATTCAAAGACAAATAGAACTATTGTGTCCTGATGTACCATATATAAAAAATAAAATAAAATAAAAAAAAATAAAAGGCCATGCTAACGAGAGCCCTATGAGCTGTCATTAAGGTGGAGATCATGCCGAAATAGTTATGGGTCCCAATATATTTTTCACATATCCCCGCTAGAGTAAATATAACATACCAGTGGTAGCCTACCAAAAAAAAAAACATAACAAGGCAATGTATCTCTATGTTTGACATGAAAACAACAACAACCCTTACCCATCACATTTAAACATATTATCTCCGTGAAGCCGCTCTCTGACAGTGAATAGGTCCAAGCATTCCTCTAAAGATGTGGCATCCCCTTGAATTTCAACAGTTAGATCCATCATATTTTCATACTGATTTGAAACATTATTGCATTTTGAACAAATCACCTAGGAAATAAGAGAGAGAAAAAAAGGAATTAACACATTTAGGACAGAATCAAAGAAAAATGGTTATAGCTAGATGCAAAAACTATAGGGCACACAACGCTATGTGGGTGTTTGGGAAGTGGGTTTTTATGTAGGTTTTTTTAGTTGTAGGATATTATTGGATAAAATTTTTTTGGTGTTTGGGAGGATAGTTGGGTTTTTTTGTGGTTGGATGTGATGTTTGTGAGAGAAAAAGTGAAATGATTATAGGGTTGGATGTGATATTTTGTTTGGATTTGTTTGTTTTGGTTTTGCAAAAATTTTGTCATTTAGTGAAAAAAATCAAAAAAAACCCAAACCCAAAACTTGCCAAACACCACCTATAAAACAACAAATTCACCTCAAGTCTAAGTGTGACGGGTTATAACATTTGAGGCACAGCCATGAAGTGAACTGTCACTCCTCGAGGCTTGCCTTATGCCCAGTTATGATCTGAACAACTACACCAGCTTCCAGTAAGCAATTAAAATTCTTTTCCCTCATAGTTTTATTGATTTATTTCAACTAACATTCTATTTATAACTATGCAGCACATTCATAGTTTTTAAAGCCCATTCAGCTGTTATTTGACACTAGGAATTGCCAGATAAGCTTTAATTAGTGATGCAGAAAATAATTCCTTACAAAGTCAAAGGACAACAAAGCCACATATGACTGAAAGAAAAAGGAAATGACATTATCATGATGGATATGCTGGAATCATAAAATAATTATGTTAAGAATCTACCACCTGCATGCTTAACCAGAGTAGAAACAAGAATGGGTAGATCCTAGATACCTGCAAGTCAATAGAATGTTAGAATCTATAACGGTGCATTTCATAGATTAATATCAAAACCTCAGTGTAATTGCAAGCTACCTGAGATTGGAGATAACCCCCAAATATACGTTGAATAAGGATTGTTTCTTGAGTGCTAGGATGAAGGGCCTTCTCTTCCCCAAATTCATCTAGGCACACTGATTGCATAGTATCGATAGCAAACCTGCAAAATGAATGAACTTAAGGCTCCGTACTAAGTTTCTTGAGTCCTGTCACGGTTCTGAATCTAATCTCACAAAGTGCAATGTGAGACTGATAAACATCAAAGAGTCCAATCCAGCAAATCATTTTGGAAAATCAGATTTTGAATCAAATAATGCCAAAACTGGGCTACTTTGCCAGATTACAGAGTCGCCACTTAAATATTTTATTTTTGAGAAATTTAAGAAACCCTGACTCGTGCCAAAGGCCATGTGTCCGTCATCACCAAAGTTGCCTCGGCTCGGAACTTAGGTACGAGAGGGGAAGGTCCTGAAATGAGCACCCCCGCTCGCCTGACCAAAATATCAGCCTCTACTAAGCATCAAGGTTGTTAAGATCGCGATTCGGATCGTAGGATCGTAATCCTACGATCCATTTTTGGAGAATCGATCTGGATCGCATGATGAATCGCATTTTGTGCAGGATCCTAACAGGATCGGTGGGATCGGACATGGGATCGTAGGATTGTATTTGGATCGCGATCCTATACGATCCTGTTTTTTGCCTTTTTTTCTAATATTTTTATTACAGGTTTGATGCCTTCTCTCTTCTCTAAAAACCCACGACATAAGATTAGGGAAAAAGATTGGGGAAAGTTGGTCACGAGAGCTGAGCAGCCTCCATCCAGATTCCAGGTATGCTTCTTCTTCTTCTACTTCTTCTTCTCTTCTTCTCTGTGCTTCGATTCCATCTCTTCTCCTCTGTTCAACTTCCTTTTCTTTTTGTTCTTCTCTATTCGACTCATTCTTCTCTTCGTCTTCTTCTTCTTCTTTTCTTCTTTGTGCTTCGACTCCATCTCTTCTCCTCTGTTCGACTTCTTTTTCTTTTTCTTCTTCTCTGTTCGTCTTCTTCCATTTTTTTCCCCTTTTCCCCTTTTCTGAAACAACACATTAAATATAGTCTTAAAAAAAAAAAAAAAACCTAACTTTTAACCCTCTTAAACTGGCCTTTGTTTCCTTAGGTTTTAGCAGTGTTACCATCTAAAAAAAAAAATTCCAGTCCATGTAGACCCAATGCTACAATTTAAAAATAAAAAAGAGAGCAAATAATACGATTCTCTTCCAAATTACACTTTTTAAACCTTTTTTATTTTTTTTTTTTTTTTTTTTTTTTGTAGGAACCAAACAACAACTAAACCACTTTAACATAAAAATATCTGTAAATAATTTATTTATGATTATTTTATAGATGTTTTTAATAATAAAAAACATATTATTATACCACATAATTTTTGTTATTATTTAGAGGCATTTATTTATAAATACCTCTTTACCTACTTATGTTCTATTTAATTTAATTTTTTTTTATATTTTAATAAGTCCTATAAGTAACATAGTTATTAAAATATCTGTAATAGTAATAGGATGAAACGTACAATAATATTTACATTGACAATATAAAATATTTCATGATGTGAACATTTATACTGTCAAATATGAATATTCACATTGCCAAATATGATGTGAACATTTTTTTCCCCTTTTCTGTTAACTTGAAGACTTGAAGTTGAATTGCTATTTTCTTTTAGTATGTTCTTTTGTTAAGATTTGAGGAAAATGTTTGAATGACAACTTGAATTGCCACCTTCTTTTATTATGTTTTCTTTGTTTAAAAAAATGTGCTAAATGTATATTTGAATAGATTATTGTTAGTGCGTAAGGCACACAAGTGAGAATGCGAGGATTTGAATCTCGATCTGCTCATAAGTATGAGAGCTCTACCATTTGAGCTACATTCTCAAGTTTTTTGGGGTCATTTTATATGTATTTTGATAGTATTAGTTAGACATATAAGAATTATTGCATTTTTTCATCGTTTTGGTAGGATCTTACGATCCCCGATCCGATTCTCCAGACTCCCAAAACGATCCTATGTAGGATCCCGATCTTAACAACCTTGCTAAGCATGATACGTTGTTTTATAAACACACGTGTTCTTATTCTGGTTATTTAGCTAACATTACTATGTGGCGCGCATGCATACAAGTATAGACTAAGTCGCGAGACTTGGAACAAATTGACTCATGTTTGTTTTCGAAAATGGTTTGAAAGTGCCACCTCTCAAGTGGGCTAAAGCGCAGATTTGCCATCAAACATGATGGGCTTAAAACATGATTTGCCACTTCGCAAAGTGGGCTTAAAACTCACAATCATCGAATTATTCCAATTCAAGCAACAAAGCCTTCACCCACAGACATTCATGCTGTTAATCAAGTAAGCGCATCGCCTCATGGCAAGCATGCGAAACATGGCAATATGGCACTCAAGCAATATGCTAAAGCGTAAAACTTACAGTGTACTCCGAGCCAAAACAAAAGCTAGTTAGAAAAATGCATGATTCCTAACTATACAAAATGCCTAATGCAACGCATGCAATAATAGAATTAAATAGGCTTGGCTATCTAAGATGGCATATGAATGCAATAATTTGATAACATGCTGTGAGACACGTATTCAAAGAAGTATTGAAATACGATACAGTTTGAATGATGCGCCGAGCCCGGTGCATGCAATACAAATGAATGGATGCAAACATGCAAGCATAAGGTATGCTAATCAAAACGTGATCCCTAATCTAATCATCGAAAGCGGATAAATAAAAAGGAGAAAGATGTGGGGTTGGAAGACACGCACACACACATGCACACTTATTACAACATTGTGTCCTCTCAAAGGAGGGTCCGAATAATTAAGTTAAGCTAATTATTACAACACAACTAATTAACTATTCTAACTAATTAATCATTACAAACCAAATTGAATAACTAGCTACGTTAAGCTAAGCTAAGCCAATTAAGATATTACAAAACAAATTGAATAATTAGCTACTCTAACTAATTAAAGCAATTAAATGGCCTCGCAGGCGAGGGAGACATGCATGCTCAGTTGGTGTCTCCCCGAAAATCCATCGCCTTGCCACTGGTTACCTCTGTTTACACTTGTTGTGATCTCCGAACACTGCACAAACTTCCAGATTGCCTTTGCTCCAACACATGAACACATTGGACAACCTTTGCACTGGTGGCCGGTCAGCTACCTCACTTGGCCAGCCGGCTAGTGCAAGTGGTCGGTCGGCTACTGCAAGTGGCCGGTCGGCCACCTATTTTTCCAGGCTTCTGTTTTTTGCTACAACAGAGGCAAAGCAATGCATTTGTAAGGAAATGTGTGTATTGCCACCCTCCTTATTATTTCTCAAGCTCAAAGGAGTGTGGCACTTGGCTCTCAAGCCATCAACCAAGCATTTTCATGCATGATGGCCAAAGGGCCAAGCTTGTACAATGTTAATGAATGCACA